TGAAACCAAAAACATAGCACTGTTAATTTGAACTATTTGAGGTTTGCAATCAGTTTGTCCCCAAATTTTCATAAAATGCAGTTTGACAGTCCACCGAAAGCTGAACCATCGTATATTGAGACATTCGTTTTGTAACGAATGTGCACAAAAATGGATGGATGAATCTAATCAAAATTCATATTTCATTGAGCATTTCAAAAATCTCCGAAGATATCCTCCACCAAAATTTTTCTCGGACACAAATGATTAGTAGCATAAATGAAATTTTTTGTTTTGTTTTGTTTGATTTGATCACTGAATGTTTTGTTCAAATAATCGACGCTGCCGAAGAAGTCGTTGATAGAGAATGCTTCTGAGTTGGGAATGTTGCTCGAGGAAATTATTTTTAGAGATTTGTTAACTGTGGAAGAAGGTGGTGTTGGAAATGTACCTCAAACGAATCACTCGCTTCTGAATAATCCGAATCTGCAAGACGATTTTTCGGACGACGAGTTACTGGAGAGCAGGTCATAGTTGCACATTCATATTCTCTACTTGTACGCATCTGGAAGCATTTATACAGAGAGAACATTCGAGTGAGCTTTCCAGGATGAGTTTCTGAATCTTAGCAGAGATCAGTGGTAACGCAATGAATAAACTCTGAAATATGAAGAGAGATTTGAATAATTTAGAACGATACCAGTATGGCTAGCGTTGTTTTTGTGTGTTGCGTGGATATGTGCATGTGCAGGATTGTTTTGCTTATGGGAAACAAGATGGTCGTATTTCACTTCGTTGTATTTCTTTTTTATATCACTTTCAACGATCGGTTTGGGTCAGTTTCTTCCACACTTTGCTGCCTATTCATCATTTCGTTATATTGTATCCTCTTCACTACTACAACGACGAGATCAGATGAATGCATGTGCATTTATGACAGAACATTTACGACACAAAGAAAATTATCATAAATTCACGACTTCAGTGCAATCCATTGTATCACTTTCAGTAATCTGATGTGAGTCAAAAGATGTAAACAAATTTATCAGATTGAGCACAGAAATCGATGTGATACAAAACAGCACAATTCAACTACCGTTTTGCCTGCAATTGAAACGGGAACAATTTTTGCTCGATAGAATGGGATCAGTGAATGTTGTAAGGTTGTTGAAGATTTACTGTTATAGGTGATGTTGTTCCTGATCATCCCCATATGTTAATTCTGATGTTTTGGTTGGTTATAATTGGCTTATCAATTGTATCGATGCTCTTGAGTGTTATTCAAATTAAAATAGAAGAATGGCTTTATCATTTGATGATTCGGATGCGGGTGAGTCGAGTGCCTCTAATCAATTACAATTGGTGTCCTTCTTATAATTCAATAGTTCAACTGTTCGGTAGCGGTGACTGAAATCCACTGAAAACACACTAGAAATTACACGGTGAAGAGTAATTTCCTCAAAATCCGTTTATCATAGCAATTTTCTGACGATAAGTTATCCATTAACGTCAGATTTGTTTTGAAGGATGTTTCGAAATATACGAAACGGATTGATCGCGGTGCTTTAGGTGGGCACAGAAAAGTTATAGATTCATTTTCTGATGAAACTGATTAAAGATGATCTATATGACGTATTATTTCGTAGAACGTCTTTGGTTTCATAAAAAGAACGAATTGCTGGCAATAGTTCGAACGCGAATTCATGTAAAATCTTATTTAAAATCTATTGTAAGAAATCGAGTTGCTTACAGAAAGAATATCAACGCGCCTTGGCGAATGGGGATCCAGTTGAAAGACAAGCAATACTGAATAAACTGATGAAAAAAGAACCATGGTTCATGCGGAATATGGCACAGCATTTAATAAGCGAAAATCAGGCCGCAGAACTCGATCATCAGGTTCCATCCAGAAGTCATCTTCTTGATTAAGAATTATGAGTTGATTCGTTTAAATAAACTATCGATCAAATGAGAACAAAAAAGACTAAATTTCACGGCAAGTAAAAATTGACTGTGAAAGCTTGAACTTGATTTTTTGATAAAAAGATCAATGATCAAAAGCCAGTAACGCAAGTGTTTTTTATTCCTTTCACTTGCTCATAATCACTAACGATAAATCGCATCAAACTCATTCGAATGAGCTACTTTCAAGAATCGCGTTTTCGTTATTCGAAAATTTCCGATCCTCAATCCAAAAACGAGAGCAGTGTTTTGTGTGACATTAATCTGGATTAGACAGCAGAGAGGGATACATTTTAAGGATACATTTTTAAATGACTTTACATTACGAATAACTTTCAACTATAATACCTCAAGTAGCAATAACCATCGTGAGGCGATAGCCGCTGTAAAGATGGATTACACTGAAAATATTTTATGGTTTGAGTTCCTATTGCCAATCTAGGCGGAAACATTCGAACGTTCGGTTTGTCAAGTGAACAACAAAAATATTCAAACTGAACCACCAAATCTCATCGACAGTATCATTGAACAATCTGACAACGAAACACAACTCAGTCAACAGCAACAGTTTAATGTACGGTACCCTTTCTTCCTTTTTATTCTCTATATTCGTGCAATTTGAAACAACTAAATGGGCATTTTAGTTCAGTTCAAAACCAGCAAAGCTTTTTTTGAACTGAACTAAAATGCCCATTTCTCCCACTCAATACATAAGTTGAAAACCATGTCTCTGATGCGTCAGAATTCATCAGCTCAGCAGAACGCTCCTTAAGAAAACGTTATATCAGTTTAATAAAAAATATCCTAGTAGCATCACTAATCGTGAACAGTATTCGCTTGATAATGTTTCATATTGCCTATTTTTTGCACATTCACCAAAATCGGGCAAGAATTTTGATCATTTTCTGCTTTCTTTTGGTTCCGTCCCAGTGAAATGAGTTTTAATGAGTCGTTCATTGCGCTGGTAAATGTTGTGCACCGGTAGAATTCTCATGCAAGCACCATTTAGAATATGTCCACAGATGCTGCAAGTCTTGCTAGTGAATTGATAACGTCGCCACTGCAAGCCGATATGTCCACTCAGTGGTCAGTGAATACTGATATGAGGTTCGTGCATTCATTCATTGCATATTTTTTCATAGCTCTGAAACTTTTGCAGTCAGTTTCGGCCTCGTTCAGCAATGTTGAACTCTCTCATCATCACGCATAATTAGATACAAGTCAAATCAAAGTAACATCAGTGACATTGGTACAGCACTCAGTTTTGAGGGAATTTTTTTTTTTTTTTTGAAGAAAGATTTTGCTCGAAACCGAGTGGTGCACCAATATCATTATCAGTTGACTACGAAGCATCATTTCTCATTTCTCAAAGTTTCGGTGGCAATACGCGAGCGAGATTTTCATGCAAACATTCCATAGATAATATATTATAGTTACAAATAACGATGCTTTGAATCAGTTTTCTCCGAAGCAAATGAGAGTTGTTCACTTACAGATCCGAGTCAAGAACGCTGGACATGCCCAGACTCGAAAGTGCTTTACCCCTCAGCAATATGGTGTGGCAATCGCAAGACACTCTCGAGTCATTTTCGGATGCAATCTCGGATGCAACTTCTCCATGTAAATCCATGTAAGACGATCGACATTCTTCTAATGAATCAATCTTTCAATCTCCCTCTGTTTTTCGCAAAATTACTATCGCTTCAAACCAATCAATCGAAAATTACATTGAATTAATTCTCGCTTTCATATCCTCAAAATAAGACTCTTAAAAATTGTGTCTTACAGCATCGAGGCGGTTGATAGAAGTATGCAAGTATCGGCGATTTCGTGTCTTGACCGCAGTCAACAATTTGATCCGCTACCCGCAAGTGTTTGTGGTGTACAAACCGATATCGCTCAATTCCAAGTTGACGAAATTATGCTCAGGCTTCATGAAATACAAGTATCATATGCATAACATTTCTTTTATTTCACTANTTTCAAACTTAGATTGAACACTCCTTTCTGATTGATGAATTAGCTGTGAAAATGATCTGACATCATTGAGGAGAAGTCTAAGAAAAAGCCGATGTTGATGGATCGAAGTATGGAGACGTCATTACAACAGTTTGATGCAAAAGACGAGAGTGGTGAAGAGAACGATAAGACTGAGCAAATTTCGCAGTCAACTCAATACGATATTGCACCAGTTGTCGTTGTAAATGATATCTATATTTTGTTTTACAACACTGATCAAATTTCAAATCGCTCGAAACTTTTCTCTGCAACTGATTTTTTCGTTCAAAACTAATCACTTAGTCTCATACATATAAACATTGACCCAATTTTTTTGAAAAAAAGTATATCTTTTGAATGTCGTTTGAATGGCTCTCATATATGAACATCTTTTGAATGGCTCTCATATTGCCACCAAATTTGTTTAGCAAAAATTATTGTTTCAGATTTATCTTATTCATTGTTTTATCAAAGTTTCAAAATGCTCAATTTAATTCACTCCAGCTGAAAGGACCTTCACTGATTGATTCAGAGTTGATTTCAATGATTCGAGTTCACAACAAACACTCAGAAGATCATTTGTAATCGTTCAGAATTTAAGGATATCTCGATAACAGCTGATCTGAACAGTCAAATGGTAGAAGAGGGTACCGAGACAGAGCAGAATGAGTGTTTGTTGAATCGCTCCATGGAGACGGATGCATGGATGGCACAGTTACAGATGCCCGAATGTAGTCGTTCTGTACAGACACATTTCGATGAGGACGAAGTACTTTCTCTACTCGTTTTTGCAAGCGAATCTCATCTCTCCAAAACATCAACCAATTTATATTTCAAATTGTTCTGAAGATTAGTGCTTGTCAAGTTGTTGGCAATGATCTTAACTTCATAGCGCCATATCAGTTTTCTAAAGGCCATATTTTAGGTTGTCGAATTGGATGAGTTGGCGACAAAACGAACTACTTCTAAACAGCAAGTGCGAATATTCGACGACAATGTTAATGAGAGGAGGTGAGTGTGAAAAATACTGACTCGACTTCTTATAGCAGTATTATTCCACTTGAAATGAGTTAATTCATTTCTGAATGATTTGATCCTCGATTCACTGCCATTGGAATCTTTTAAGTTAAGTAGTATGAATAACAATTCAACTTCAGTACACAATGCGAGCCACAAATAAAGGATACATGTGATACGTGTATGCAAACGATGTTGGAAATGTGTGACTTCGATAGTGATTCGTCAGCAAGAGCGCGATCTTCTTCTCTAGTCTCTTTGCGTGGTAGCACTGATACTGAAGAACCAGCTCCAGTTGCTAAACAGGTATTTTGGGAGTTCGTGAATGCCATTTCAATTCAAGATATGATAGAAGACAGTGGCTATATTCTAACAACATGAATTCAGCGAATTCATGAGGACTGTTCCAAACCAGTGAAATAATAATTCCAGGATTTGATAATTCAAACAGATGATTCTTACTTGAAAATAGCGAGACGTCTCGATCAGATTCGTAATAATCGTACGGCGAGCTTACACATCTGTGCTGCTAAACCGTTACGTTTTCCACAAGACGATGATCCGTCAAATTCGAATCGACAACGATCTGAAAAGTATAAAATATTAGATTCATTTGTGCATGATGCTGAAATATAGTTCAAGTCGTAAATCATTAATAAAATTCTCTGATAGATGCGTATAATCTTTTTTGAGAAGCAGCTTGCATGATATCCCATTAAGGTGATTGAGCAAGGTGCATTCCTCAAGGGATTAACCCATAGACAAGCCATTCGGAGCGTTCTGCAGATCGTGCAAGGCCCAACGATCGCCATCTCTTCATGACTGTCATTATGTTTTATTAGCCATAAATACTTATGAGTGGATGCCATTTTAAGAGCATCAAGCGTATCACTTCCCACGTTCGTTCAGTCTGCATGATGGATGCCCCAAGCCCTTAATTGCCATTCTGTTACTCTTCACCCTAAATGCTATTTTCCTTGCTCATTCAAACTTATTTCCCTCATAGTTTTAACCAGTGTTTGCGGGCAACATGAAATTTCAAGACTCTATCCCCAACTATTTTCAGAACGACTGCATCTTTGGGGTTCGTAACCGCGAACTTTATCCGCAACTTTTTTCCATCCCACTCAGCGCATTACTTTTAACGACACCCTTAACATTGGTGACATCCCCAGTCAATCATCAATTTTACGATTCCTTAATTAATTATCTCATACTAATCGCTTATATTCTTTTCTGTGCAATTATAATCTCATTCATTTTTGTCGTGGCTCAAGTTACAGCATGCAATATGCAACATAAAAAAAGATTCAGCGTTGTACAAAAGCATTTCATGTATGAGCATCAAAAATATAGCAACTTCCTTGATCTTTCTTAAGAGCTTCATCGGGTTGTATTGCAGTTTGATATTGTTTAATGAACAACCCAGCGAAAGACGTGAATTTAATGTTGATCCAACTCGAAGGAAATCTCTGAGAAGAGGTGCTGATAAACCAATGCGGTCACCAAAATCACCTATGTACGCTTAGTTTATTCACTTTTTATGCGAGCCTCTCAATCGATCAATAGACAATATTTTCTAGGCCTGAAATTTGGAGTGCATTCAATGCATTTTTTTGTGAAATGCTGATGAAATGAATGAATTTATAATCAAAAATATTTCTTCACGACAAAAAACAAGCAGTCATACGTCTAAATCATGGATTTTAGATGGCCTGGTAAGGTGGTGTCATTTTCGATGGATTCGGATGCAGCGACCATAGAAGAAGGACCGTCGAATCTATCAGATTCGGATACATTGCAACCTCGAACAGACGTCAGTTGAGTTCTGATTAGATGATTGACTTTGCCGTGCACTTCACTACAATCGCACTCGCATCACTGATCACTCATTCCCTTTCTCGAGTTGGCAACAAATATGAATATAAATTATTGAATGAATCAGTCTTCAAGTGATCTTTTATGGATAACTGATTTTGGAATAAATGCCGTGTTATCACCTATTGCTGACTCTATTCTCAGCTGAATATTTCAAATGAATACATATAAAATTTTGAATCAATGTTTGCTCAGTTTTCACTACGATATCGTCAGTTTCTCTGTCAGTAGTCCACTGTTCTACTGACTTTTCTCAACTTTCTCATCGATAATTCTCACCTCAATGTCCAAAGTAGTATTTTCCCAAGCTACCAAGCCAGGCCAGCAAGAGCGCCATATGAAATGGTTTGCTGGTTGTTTCGAGCACATTCATGCATATTTTTGTAATCACATTCAGTGTATGTCATTCCATATGTGACTTTGCACCAGCCATGGAACAAGCCCCGTTTCGATCATCATCGAATATGATCACCGACTTGATTAACATTCACTTTAGCACAAAGTTTCTATATTCATTATCGTAGAATCGATCAAGCCACTGAGCTGTTGGCATTCAGGCCAATAATTATTTCTGCAGTAGACGACCCGAATTCGTCGAAGTGATACTGCAAAGTCACCAATTCCAGCAAATCCTGAACTTAATTCCTGTTCACGTTCGATGTCTTAGCAGTATTCCCGAACTTTCAAGAATGTTTCATAACTTAGCTGCATCGCAATTAGGTCACCGTTTCAGCATCCACTCTAATTGCAATGCAGTTAAGATCAGTGCAAAACTCGTTAGTGATGAAGTCAGTTCAGAATTCAAGGTACACTGTCTATGTATTGTTACATTATTTTTTCCATGTTTTAATTACTGTTGCACGATCAACTTCCACCCGTTCGCACGTCATATCACGAATACGTTCGCATCCATCATTTATATGCATTCGCATGAAATCACGATGAATTACCCACACACGCACACTGCAGTAAAGAACTACACTCGTCAATGTGCGTAGAGTAAGTTTATTTGAATTTAAATCAATGCTATCGTTAGCGAGGTTCTGCCTTACGAATTTATTCTTGGTGTCGAGCAAATGAGCCATAAATCATTGAACTAACAGTGAATGTGTGCAGAATTCTTCGTTGATTCCAGAAAAAGATGTGTGATTATTAGTTGTAAGCTTCTCATTGATCACGAGAGAGTGTCCGATTGAAAATTCGGCTGCAAAAATTCATCTAATCTATACGATTCACTCGAATTAGTATACTCGCTCTCTAACGCCGATGAAATGGAACTAATTTGAATAAAAGTCGTAGATAAGCAATGCGTCATTCGGGCAGTACTGATCTAGAGGATTCGATGTCTTTATGAATACAAGTTCGTCATATCGTGTATTGTCTGAAGTTAACGTTGCACTCAATCAAAAATGAATATATTAAACTCGTATGGAAATTGTGAAACGCGAATGTATTTTTTGATTGAGAATATTGATCTTGTTCAGCATATTGCTTACCTCAACTTATTCTATTAGTATAGGATTGACATCGACGAATATGCAATCAATGGTTTGTTTTGATTTGATTAGAATAGCATTAAATCGACAAAATCAGTTTATTGCAGCGCTTTTACGGTAAATCTCGTTCAATTTCGCCAGCTCCGTTAACTCGTCCCAATGGTTCTACACTGATCCGAAGAAAACAGTCGTTACCGGTGTCGATACAACCAGGTAAAGTGAGCGACTTCGTTCGTCAGCATGAACGTGGTGTTCACTCACCTGGTAAAATGAGCTCTCGCTCGATGGTTACAATCATTGATATGCGTGATCAAGGTTGTTAGATCGACATGCAATGATATATATGTGGTGGATCGGTTGATATCATGTATTGAAAAGACTGATACTTTATAAATGCTTTACGATACAGACTTGCTACAAAGTGATACAGACTTGCTTGCTACATTAATGCAATTTCAAAATGAATGCGTTCTATGGATTTCACATTCTTATGAAAACCCATTTATGGAAAATGATTGTAGACGCATGTAGTGTGAAAATTGATAAACATACTAATTCGGTGTTTTCTTATAATATTTAGAAGATGCATTATTTCGTTTCATTACTTCCAGGAACGATTAGCACTATCGTAACAATAGGACAGATGATAGAATATAAATTGAGGGGCACTCTTGTCGATATGCTTCCCAGAGTTTAACAGCGAGCGAAAATTTTTCAAAGTCCAAGATCTTTCATATGAAGGCCACTGTCTGCGTCCATTGATTACATTGCATAGTTAAAAAAAGGAATGATGAAATTGAAGCATCTTATACATTGAATTTCAGTTATTTTCCATGTTGAAAGATATTATACGAACACGATTCTGTTGAAATCGCTAAGCTACACTCTCCCAAACAATAATCAATAATACTCTGCTCAGGAATCATTTCTTCTGCATTTCTTCGCCACCTTTTTGTTTTGCAATTTCAGATGCTTTTGATTGTTTTGGATATATATCATTCTCTTTTTTGGCGTCGTTTTGATGACCATCATCAAGCTTCGAGGCTTCTTGAACCGAAGATTTGGCTTCAACTGATACAAGTTGTTCGAAGCACTCTCGTGAAGTTGGCGGTTTTGCCTCTTCACAAATTGCTTCCTCTTTTCGCATACCTGCACAATGAAAATCATTCCTTTAAACATTAGCAACAAGTTTTTGAATGATAACGTCCAATAAATTATATTGATAAATGCTCAATGATATATTGATCAGAAATAAATCTGTGATAAATCCATGAAAAAAATAATTATCGAGGGCAACGAACCATAATGAATGAAAATCACTATACTTAGGGTAACAATGAGAATATTGCTCAAAATGAATGAGATTAAAATGGCATTCGCGAGCTTAACGTTCAAGTAAATCCATTCCAATCGACTTGAGTAATAACCAGTTTCACTGAATAATTTATAAAATTCCTTCCAATAAATGATTTCAGTGTCAAAGCTCGCATTACAAACCAGCGTCATTTTTATTGAGCAAAACTCTCTCAACACAATACCAAAATATTTCGAAAGCAACCACTTTCAAGTGATCACGGCAATGAAAAATAAATAATTTCAATGGTGTCTGTAAATAAAATTTGCACATTCGCGATAAAGGTGAGGCTTGACGAGCGAGATATTAAGCAAATTTCTTAATGCTGTTCATTGCCGCTACTTTAAGATCTGAAGTGTGAAAGTAAGATTTTGAAAAGAACAATTCACTTTATACAAATGATGGCACCCGAGCGAAATTTCATGTCGATCGGAATCCGACCGATCAAACAGTCGGTATTTCGACCGACTTTTTCAAGTGAAAATTTTTTTCAAAATGTTCACTGAATGATGAAATTTCAAGTGGCCTCTCGCAATTCGGTGGCCACCGACCCAACTCTACTCGCTACTGCATGTGCCATTCATCGAATATTTTAATACGTACATTCCTGCTATTTTCTTTTGCAAGAGTCATCCCTTTCGAATTCTATCGCTTTTGGCAGCACTGCTGTCCTCCCACCCAATACAATTTATGTGAAAAACCACAATGACTTGTTAAAATTTTAAAACTGTACGAACTTATAAGAACATATAAAGTTGAGTTTACTTGTTTGAGATGAGTTAATCGAATTAATTACAGACGTCATAAATCTATTCTATTAAAACAACATTATANATATTATCACTCGGAATGCGTATAACATTTTTCGGGACAAACAACACGTAACAGGTAGCAGATTTTGGTTGGATCCTCAAAGTGATGAAGTAAATGTACAGAAATATAAAACATGATGTTAATCAATCAATACCATAGAAATGTTCAATGAAAGCAATCAGATCATTCTTTTTCGCAGATGATTTCACAGCGATATTCGTTTGCGCGGCTTTTGCCCTCAACTGGGCAATCGTTAAATTCTTCAGCTGCAACAAATATGGATTCAAGAGATGATCAAACACCCTTCAACATATTCTACTACCAGATCTGCTTTCCAAAAAAATAACTGACATGACAACTTTTGATCGTTAATATTTGATAGCAACAAAACACCTTCGATATTCTGCTTTTCAAAGAAATCTGTTTTTCAAAGAAAACAACAACTTTGATCGTTAATGTTTCACAGCAACAAACACTGACGACTGACAGCAACCAAACAAAGCAGATCTGCCTTTCAAAGAAGAATAATCAACATAACAACTTAACGTTGGACAGCAACAAAACATCTTTATTAGGCTGAAGAGCAATATTTTTAAAAAATTGAGTAATTGCACAAATTTATTCAGAAACCAACCAACTGATTATTCGCCAATTCTTCAAGTGACATTTCATCGTATTTTGCTTTCTTTGCTTCAACGTCTTCTTTGTTCTTTCCTTGAAAACATTATTACATTATGGTATGAATATTGCTTTGCTTCATTCACGACCCATTTTTTAAAATCATACAACAGAAAAAATCATATTGTTATTACCTGAAGCAGCTTCCAGTTTACGTCCTTTCACCGGCTTTTTTGTTTCGGGATTATATCCATCCGGTAAAGTGACTGCACGAAAATGATCCAACTGATCTTTAACTCGTTTTGCGAATGCTTCATGCACAAAATATGGTTCTGCAATTGATAATCGCGCTATTTACCCTCACATTATCACTGATCCAATCAATTTATAAACTTTATTCTTGAACAAGGAAAACACATTTGATACTGCATAAATAAAGGACTTATTGAACTGATGAGAATAAACAACTCACGAATCTGATCGTCTACGTGCGGTACCTCATCCAAATCAAGCGCCATCGCTTCCAGCACTTTATAGTGCTTCTGAAGTACTGCAATTTGTGGCATTTTATAACAATGATCATAAAAGAAAGACTGCTGACACTGATGCTGGCTCTTACCGGCTCATATTCAGTGTTTTCATCGGGTTATCACTAGTATAGGCAAAATGAATGACAATATCTCATGATGTTACATAAATTCAGTTACTTTTACATGGAGACGTACGTTCATGCTCCTTCACGGTGAGAAGTAAATAGAACAATAGAAAGTGCATGAAAACAACAACTAGGCTCAACAACAATTGTTTATGACGTGCCTGCTATAAATCTACGTGAAGTGCTATGAATCAATTCAAAATCATCAGCTCACCTGGATTACAAAACTTCTCCGGATAGTAATCGAGCTTTAACTTTCTGACCAATTCTCGCGCCGCATCGATTTGATCATTGCTGGCTGGAAGCAATAGAACATTGAAGGGTGAACAGTGTTTTTTG